CCGGCTACTGCTCGGCCCCGGTCGATTGCGTGTGGGTTGACAACGCTACGACCTGCGAGAGGTGCGCGCAATTCCAGCAGGGATGCTATTTCGACAAGGTGTCTGTGCTTGGGAAGACAAAGAAAACGCGCGGCGGGGGTTCAACCACCAAAAAGCGCAGTAAGTTGTTTCTTCTTTTCATTCTAGGCTTTCGCTGACGACTTAGTAGTTCGACCAACTTCTCCTGTGCCTTCGGTCGCGGAATCGAGTGGTTCGAAGAAGCGTCGCGTCGACGAGCCTCCGCGCCCCCTTCTACGACAGCCTCTCGATGGGGCCAGCCGCCTGGGCCTCGAACCGGACGACCTTGATGCGCTCGACCTCGACGACAAATCTCGGGGGATAATTCGCGTCATCCACGAGGAGCGCGCTCACATCGCTCGCCGTCGAGCGCTCCTACACGACATGGACCTCGACCTCCAGAAGATGGAGAAAGCCGCGCTTGCAAAGGGCGGAATCGGTTTCTTGCACGGGGCTGTCGATGATGAGTAGGCGATGGTGCGGGTTGTATTGTAGTGTAGTTGTCCTCATGTCGTAGAATATTGTGTCGATAGTCAAATGGAACATGTGGCCCTTGGCCTAGATGAAACCTAGCGGGAACTAAGAAAAAGAAATGAAAATAAGTGTGTTCGAAGCAAGTTGTAATATGATTGAAGGGCATAGAAGGTGAAATCGAAATGTTCGTAGTGAGGGAAAATGGACGTAATGAGAATATAGGCTCAGTTTGTCATCACAGCCTAGGAGGACTCGTCTAAGGTGAGCCTCCGCGCAACGGTCGAAGCGAAGCGTTCGTAGAACGTCGAACGATGTCGCAACTATCGAGTTGAATCGAGGGTAGTCGTACAAGGGATGGTCTAGAACGTAGGAGTGGATCAAACATATTGCATAACGTGAGAGCAGGCATGGAGAGAAGAAAATACGTATCGTGTTATACAAGTAAAAAGAAGGAAGAACCTCTATTCGTCGCGTTCTTCGGCTTCTTCGACTTCATCATCGTCGTCGTCGCCCAGAGAATTCGATAGTTCGAGTTCTCGAAGACGCTCGGTCGAGACATCTTCGAGATCTTCGGGGATTGGAATGGATTTGCGCGCGAAATACGGAATGACGC